CATAGATAAGATATAATATGTCTTATACCTAGAAGGACATACCGTCTTCGCTCAGAATCTTTTTTCTTATACAATGATATAAATATAATATCATTGAATTCAAATGTAATACCATCCATTATACAGTGACCCACGTGTAACCTACTGTACAGCAGAGCGACACCCACTTGCCCACCTTTTTTTATAGTTAAGGATTGAAAATTTAAATCAAGGTTTCTTGAACATAGTTCATATTGTAACCAAAAAAATCTAAAAAATATATAAACACTAAAACTCATTTTTTTTATAGACATTTGAAGTTCAAAAGAAATTTGGTAGGTATTTAAACGAAGAATAACAAATTTTGTTATTTTGTTATAATTTAAAAATATTATTCCTGGGTACCTACCTACTTTAAATTCTTAAAATATATTATTATGTTTTATAGTTTTATACACAAAATTATATTTTTTCGGCAAAAATTAATTTAACCTATTGTAGTACTAATGCCTATAATACTAAAATAAATTACTTATGATAACTGATAAGTAACATTTGGTTTTTACCAAATGTCAAAACCTGAATTCAGTATTGACTAAAATTACGCAATATACCTACATGTGTGGAGCCTCCTCCCTACTCAAAGCTCCGTGTTTGAAAATGTTGGGCCTCGGAACAACATATTTTGCACCCTCACCACAAAAACAAGTTATTTCTTAAAATGTAAAGACTTATAATAGACCTATAGGTACTATTTTGTGGAATAAATGCGGTTTAGCTCCCAAACGATTTTTGAATATTTTTTTCGGATACCTATATTATAACCTTTTCAAGTTTTGAAGTCCGCAAGTTTGGGTATTCCTACCAGTCGTAGGGGGAGGGGTGTTTGTTTTAATAAATTACTTTATTGACAATAAAATAAAAACTAGTACGATAGGTACCTAGGTAACTTCTGATTTCCCCAAAATGTTAAGGATGAAAAATTCACATTTACAAAATAAAATTCAAAAATATTATAGAAATAACCACGTTTTTAGCCTTACCTAGTTTGTTGCCTTACACTATTGTATAAAAGTATACTTGAAAGTCTTGTGTTACGTAAATAATTTTTTTAACACATGTTTTTTCACATTTTTTTAATACATGGGGTAATTTTGAAGTCAAGTCTTCCTTGACAATATTATCAGCTTACAGCTATCATGAATACTTCAATATTTTTTAAATGGTTGGTTTGATTGGTTGGTTTTTAAATGGTTGGTTGGATGTATTTTTCCATTAGATACCGTAAAAGCGGGATACTTTGCTCCAAATATATTTCTTTTTTAGTTTGAACCTATACTATAGCTTCAATAACAAAGATAAAAATTACCTGTTCGCGTTGTTTTATATGTATAGATGTTAAGAGGTAAGAACAATTCAAAAAAATCCGAATGTCGTACTAGTGACTTACTTACTTATTCCCAAAAGTTTGGAGCAAAGTTAAAATACATTGCAGGTTACATTGCGCAATGATTAAAATTACCTTACTTTAATGCATATAATAACTATTGGTGCAATGTTTAGTGCTTGTGTTTTAACTTATTTGAACCTATACTTAATATAATTTAATAATATATTTTTTTTTTTTTTTTTTAGTTGATTAAAAGTCTTTTTTCAATACATTTTAAATAAAATTTCAATCCCCTAGATTTTGGATAACTTTTCCGGTATGTATTTTTGTGTTTTTGAAAACCATTTTTTACATGGTATACATCTTGGAGGAAAACTAATAGATTCATGTCCGTAATGTTTGAAAAAATTAGTAATGTTAATAAGAATAATATAAAAAAAACTACAATCTCTGATCTCAAAATCGTAATGTGCTACGATTGATATCAATAAAAATTTTTTTTGGAGCAATGTTTAACCCCTGGAGTAAAGTATCCCGCTCTTACGGTACATAATAGAAAAGAAAATAATGAATTTAAAATATATTATGCACAGGAGCAATTTCAACTTTTGACTTGGGGGGCTGAATATATTAAAGGCAACAGACCATTACAATATAGCATTTTAAAATTGTATGTCCTAGATTTTTGGGGGGCTTAGCCCCCCCTCCCTAATTTGCGACTGTGGCTGAAGTACACCAAATACAAACTGAAACACGATTACTCGTTAAAATATTATAATATAATATATTATTTTACTTATACGCGTATATATGGGTACCTATAGGCTATAATATATATATAGGTATCAATTGATGGTAGGCAATCTATCTGCGGTAGATCGTGGACCCCATGTAGTATGTACGTTAGTGTATGATTTAACTCTATTACTCTAAAGTATCAAAGTTATACCAAGTTTGTCGTATTCTACCGTATTAATTTAACATAACAGTACTAAAATCAGATGAATAAAAAAAAACCTAATTTAACCATTTTTAAATTAGAAAATCTTCTTCCCAGTCCCCAGAGGTATAATCTACACACAAACATTCAATTATATATATGTATATATTGAAAAAAAATAATAGTACAAATACAAATCAACAAACATGCCCGATTAACCAATAACAACCAAAATATAATACACTATTATTATTATTTTTTTTTTTGGCCATGTCGCCAGGTGTGCACTTAAGAGGCCATAACTCCGGAACCACTTGTCGCACAGCGTACATACTTCACAGAAACCATCTACATGTCAATCTTAATATGCCCTGAATTTTTTATAGAAATCGGTTTGGTGGATCTTACGTTATACAATTTATTCAAAATGTACACTTATTTTTATATACCTATATAGATATAGATTATATTTATTATTGGTTGATATTGGTTAATCGGGCGGATCAGGTACAAGCATACATCAAATCAAATTTCCGTATTATATTAAAATAAACTTGGTATAACTCTGATACTTTAGAGTTAAATCTACACATAAGTACTGGGTCCGCGATCTACCGCAGGGCGCAGGTAGATTGCCTACCTGATAATATACTGCTGCGAATCAGACATTTTATTCCGGCAACAGAAAAGTTAAGATACATTTTGAACACCATACACCGAATATTAAATAACGAATTGAACAAAGTTTGAGTCATATAGAGTTGGTATATTTAACGGGCAACGAAGTGCACAGGATCAGCTATTGTATATATATATATATATATATATATATATATATTGACAACAAATAATAATACAAATATCAACAAACATGCCCGATTAACCAATAGCAACCAATATATTATAATACACTATTATTATTTTAATCTGCAACAATAAACTACATTTAAGATTCTGAGCGGAGCGAGGAAGCTAGGGGTTTTACAATGGTGTTTATTATTTTTATTTTTATTTTTATTTTATATCCTGTATCCAAAATTTCTACCAGAAGGAGTTCTTCTATTTCAACATATAGTACCTTATCTTTTAGAAAATTGGATCAAGGCGGTACTTTAGAGAGGTCATTTTTCGATTTTATCAATATTTATTAAATGCCACGGTAAAAACCACCGAAAAATTACGAAAAACTGCTAAAATTTGGATTTTAATTTCTAACGCTTTGTTTATTACCATAGAAACGAATAAAAATTATAATATTATAATATTAATTCAACTTACATGATAATATAATAATTAATGACAATATAAAATATCCAGACTGACAAACCGTATCCACTCAGAAATCGTTTTTTCTTATATCTACAATGATAGAATATCATTGAATTCAAGTTTAATACAATCCATTATACAATGACCCACTTGTAACCTACTGTGCAGCAGAGCGATTTCCACTTACCCGCTTTTTTTCATTTGAAAACAAAAGCCTCGGCGACTAAGGGCCATTGATTACAATAAATAGGTAGTCAGAATTATTGTCAGTTATAACTCGACTGTCAATTATTCGTCACGTGGAAGTGTGCAAAGCGTATATGTTCCGTATATTTTCGTTATTACATTCCAAATTTATTTAGAATTTACAACAAATAAAATGACCTTTTTTTTTTTGCTCATAAAACAAATCTCTTCCTGAAGACCCAAATTCTCCTGGATGTCGATCACCTGAGACTAAAAATTTCAAATGTAGCTCACTTGAGCTACAAATCAAAAATAATACAACAATAATATCAATAATACCTAGATTGTACCGTACCGTCGTCGTCTGTCTCAAGTCTTTATAGTAGGTTTTTCCGATTTCGGAAGTCAGGAAATCAATCTTTGTAAGTAATAGTAATTATAACGATACCCTCAAAAAAATCAAGTTTTAAAAAAAAAAAATGTTGTAACACTTCTGACTTAAAACTCGGTTGACCGGCACCTTCAAAAATTGCAGGGGAAGCCCAAGCACCCTAGCCTGCCTGACACGCCTATGGTAATAAATATGTATAATCCCTTTTAATGATTTAAATATGTAAGGTAAATTTTTTTTTTTTTTTTTTTTTTTTTTTTAATTGAATATAAATTTTAATGCAACAAATAAAAATAACAATTAATTAAATATAGCTTTAATACTAAAGCTTGTAAGTAAATTTTACAATTTACTTAAAAATATGTTATGATTCATGTAATATGTCCCGCGGTGGAAGTCGTTCGCTACGCACGCACTTCGCTCGTTCCCTTATCGCATAGTGTCACAATGTTGTATTTTTCTGAGTGTTTTTTTTTATTTTTTTTTTCTCTTCTCTCGTTCAGAACACTATTTTATCCTCACACTCACTAGTGTTGGTTTTTTCTTTCTAGTTCTACTTTAGTTTAACGCACACGTATAACAATTGCATTAAAATAACCTATAAAAAAAAAAAAAAAAAAAAAAAACCATCGATCGTCGATTACGTCGACGCGTTCGCGCGTTGTCTTATCTCGGGTTCGCTACACTCGTTAGCTTAATTACCAATTATGCTAAATTCAAATCTAAATAAAAATAAAAAAAACATCATTACTAATAAAAATGATAAATCCATAAAATCCTCAACTAAACACACTACAATATCTATTCAAAATCACGCACAAACGAGAGTGAACGAATCGTCTCAAATGGACACAAATACGAACACCTCAGGTTCTGGCTGGACAACTCAAACAAACAAACGTAATCTATCCAGTTCATCAAATGCAACATCCAATCCGTCATCTCCCACTCCAACTAATCAGAAAAAAAAAAATAAAAAAATCTTCGCCACACCCAACCGCTTTCAATCACTTTCTCAAGATGAACCTTCTCAAAAACTGCCAAATGAGGTCAATCCTCTGGATTGTGCTGAAACTGACGAAGTCGATGAAGTATTCAAACCCCCTCCTCCAATCTTTATTAAAAACGTAATAGATTTCCCTGGCCTATGCTCGGCTCTAATCGAAGAAATCGGCGTCGATAATTTTATCTGCAAGTCATCAAATGATAGTTTAAAAATTCAAACTTCAACCCCTGCGGCATACAGAGCCCTTGTTCGCTACCTCAAAGCTGAAGAAGCTGAGTTCCATACGTACCAGTTAAAAGAAGACAAACCACTCAGAGTAGTTATCCGTAACCTTCACCCCTCCACACCACTAGACCTAATCAAAGATGAACTTAAAATACGTCTATTTGAAGTAAGACAAGTCACCAACGTCCTACATAGAGTGAATAAAAATCGCCTTCCTCTGTTCTTTGTCGACCTCGAACCAACACATAGGTCAAAAGAAATTTTTCAATTGACTTCCTTTCTCCACACTAAAATCAAAATTGAAGAACCGTACAAACCAAAAATAATAAGTCAATGCTATAACTGTCAACAATACGGGCACACCAAAGCGTACTGTGGTTATCAACCCAGATGCGTTCGATGCGGAGCCGATCATCTGTCACCTGACTGCCCCAATTCAAGCGACGTCCCTCCAAAATGCGCCCTCTGCTCTGGCAATCATCCTGCTAACTACAGAGGCTGTACAATTCATAAGGATCTTCAACGAAGAAAACGACTCAACTCAACAAGTAATTTTTTGCATGTTAATACCTTTCCTAAACCTATAAATGTACAAGGAAGTCACCCATCTAAAAACAATTCTGATAAACAACAACCAACTCAAACACAAACTTACGCTCAGGCCACGTCAAATACTCCCTTTGATCACACCTTACCCCCTGCTGGTTCAGAACATGTCCCAGACATAAATAAAATGTTAACAGGCTTTCTTGCCGACTTTAAAACTATTATTAACCCACTTATGGAAACTCTTGTCAAAGTAATCTCTAGTCTATCCAACCTATTAAATAATTAAAATGTTTAATAACAACACAAATAATTCAGTCACCGACAAAACATTATTAATATGCCTATTCAATGCAAATGGCCTCAAAAACCACGTTCTCGAACTTGAAACTGTCCTAAACAATAAACGTATTGACATCGCCTTAATTACTGAAACACATTTCACTAAGTATACTTCTGTCTATATTCCAGGCTACAAACTGATTAAAACAAACCATCCTGACAACACCGCACATGGAGGTGTTGCTATCTTTATTAAATCGTCAATAATATTTAAACCTCTTCCTAGCTTTAGTCATGATCATATTCAATCCTGTGCCATTTTACTTAACCTAAACAATATTCCAATCCATATTGCAGCATTATACTCACCTCCAAAACACAATATTACAAACTCAAAATTTTCTGAATACTTTGACACATTTAAAAACAATTTTATCATAGGCGGCGATTTCAACGCTAAGCACCAGTCATGGGGATGCCGCACTAATAACCCTAGGGGTTTAGTCCTTTACAACTTTTCTACTTCCAAACATCTCAAAGTTCTCGCCCCTCCCGGACCAACATACTGGCCAACCTCCACTAAAAAAAATCCAGACATACTGGACATCTTTGTTTCAAAAATTCCGAATTGTCTTCACTACACCACTACAAATCTCTTAGATTTAAACTCTGACCACTCGGCTGTAATGTTAACCCTCAATACCACTCCCCCACTCTGGCAAAGCCCCCAAAAGCTTTTCAATCGTACTACAGACCACAAAAAATTTCACGACCTCGTAAACGAAGATATTCAATTAAATACCAAACTAAAAACCCCAGCTGATATTGACTCAGCCGTAAATAGTCTAACTACCATTATACAGTCAGCTGCCTGGTCAGCAACAAACCATGATACAAACCCACTGATACATAAACCTCTTCCAGAGATCATTCGAACCAAAATAGTCGAAAAACGCAAGGCCAGAGCGTTATATCAACTCACGCGCCTCCCCTCACATAAACACGCCTACAATCATCTAGCTAACTCTCTCAAAAAAATGCTAATAAAAATTAAAACTAAGGATTTTGAAAGTCATCTCATCAATCTCTCGCCCAAAGACGGCTCTCTCTGGAGGTCCACAAAACAAGCACTTAATTACAAAACTCAGAATCTTCCAATAAAAAAACCTGATGGATCTCTGGCTGCCTCTGACTCAGAAAAAGCCGAACTGTTTAAAGCGCATCTTTCGGCCACATTTCAGCCTCATCCAGACGTATTTAATGCTAATAATATGAATACGGTAGAAACCTTTCTTGATTCCCCTCTTCCACTTACTCTACCAGTCAAACCCTTCACACCAAACGATGTAAAATATTCTCTACTGCACTATTCACTGAAAAAATCTCCTGGCTACGACCTGATAACTGCTGAAGTCGCTAGATGCCTTCCAAAAAGAGCCATTATCCACTTAACTCACATTTTCAACGCAGCACTAAGACTCTCCTATTTTCCTCTAGTCTGGAAATTTTCTACAATTATAATGTTCCCTAAACCTAATAAACCTCCGGACCTAATAACTTCCTTCAGACCAATCAGCTTCCTGCCTCTTTTTGCCAAAATTTTAGAAAGGTTAATCCTTAAACGCATTTCTCCTATAATTACCGAAAAACATATACTTCCTGACACCCAATTCGGTTTTCGCACCTTACACTCGACTACACATCAACTTCACAGACTGGTTGATGCAATATCCTACACTTTGGAAAAAAAGTTATACTGCACATGTGCATTTCTGGACATATCTCAGGCCTTCGATCGGGTCTGGCACGATGGCTTATTATTTAAACTTAAAAGCTTTCTCCCTCCAACCTACTACCTAATCATCAAATCTTACCTCTCAAATAGACATTTTCAAATTCGTTCCGGTTCTGCCCTCTCTGACATAGCTGCCATAAACGCTGGTGTGCCTCAAGGAGGCATTCTCTCTCCTATTCTCTACAACATTTACGCGTCAGACCAGCCCAACTCACCCTTCACATCTGTGGCCGATTACGCGGATGATAAGGTTTTAATTTCAATCAATGCTGACCCTCTCATTGCCTCTGTAAATTTACAAAACCACATATACTCGATGGAAAACTGGTTTACAAATTGGCGCTTTAAAGTCAATCCAAACAAATCGATACATACAACCTTTACTCTCCGACTTGCCCCCTGCCCCAGCGTCACCTTATATGGAACCCCAATCACCTCCTCATCAAAAGTCAAGTACCTGGGCCTCACTTTCGATCAAAGACTAACCTGGGCCTCTCACATCAAATCCAAAAGGTTAACTTTAAATTACCGACTTAGAATGCTAAAAACTCTGCTTCATAATAATAAACACTCCTCTCTAAATGTCAAACTGCTCATCTATAAATCCCTGCTCAAACCTATCTGGCTCTACGGGATTCAGTTATGGGGAAACGCAAAAAAGTCGAACCTAAATAAAATTCAAACGTTCCAAAATATCGCCATAAGGAAACTCTCGAATGCCCCTCCTTATGTATCAAATCTCTCACTCCACACAGATCTAAATCTAAAAACGCTTAACGAAGAAGCCAAGGCCTACTACAAACGATTTCACGCCAGAACAAACTATCACAATAATCCTCTAATCAAGAACCTTGCGTCTTTTACCATACCCGGAAATCCCCCAAGGCGCCTAAAGCGTAAGTGGTGCCGAGATCTTTTAATTAACTAACTTCTAAACTCTCCTGTGAAAGTGTCGCCAATGGGTGGCTTCTTTCTTCAATTTTTATCATGTCATATTTTTACTCTGAGCCTATATGCTTATTGTGTCATTTGGTACAGATTGTATATTACTTATTTGCAAATAAAAAAAAAAAAAAAAAAAAAAAAAATTCATGTAATATAGTTATATTGAATGTTGGTATCAAAATGTGATGTAAATAACTAATGAGGTAAATCGCTAGCGTATTGTGTGACTTTGTAATACCTAGTTGGTTGAAATTTCTACACAGTGGCCTCTCGTAAGTAAGGCAGACCCATAGTTCTAAAACCCTGGGTACGCCACTAGTACATCTAATTGCAACTTTTTCAATGAAAGTTAAATTTTAAATATAATATTTACATGGGAGATTTTGTCATGGAATATTTTTGTGGTGATATTTTGTCGTGGAACCATTATTTATAGTCTTGAATACATTAATTATTATATTTTATATACATGATACACATTATTTTATTTATGAACATACTAAAAAGAGTAATTAATTTTATTGTTATTCTGAGATGTATCATCTAAATGATAAATTAAATACATTATAGAGTTTCCATCATCTTTGGCTAACACCATTTTTTTGTTAGTAATTGAACTAACTCTACTCCGCGAGACCATAATTTGCTTGTCCAAATCTCTACAGTTAACTATATATTTAGCATGATAAGCCAAAGGGTCACCTAAAATAAAATAAGATAAAAATATTTTAAAGAGTATTTCAGTTAATTTATCTAACCTTCATAGACTAAAAAATCGCCTCCAAACTTCATACCACAAGTTAGATAAAATCCTTTTGACCACAGATCCTTAAAAACTTTATACCTGATTCTTTCCAAATTGTTCATAAATTCAGGTAATGGTACTTCAATTATGTTTGAACATATTTCATCTATAATAAAATAAGTAATTAGAGTTACTGGAGGACAATTAGAAGATAAATAAATTTAGAATAATCTAACCAAGATGTATCATGACATTAGGTGATGTATCAAATGGATTGATTTTGGCTGTTTCTTTAGTATGTAAAGAAGTAAACGATGGGTATTCAACAGTACGGGCTATACAATTTTCAACTAGTAATCGAACTTCTTCAGGTAATAAAAGGCAAGGAAGGCCATTTTGATCTTCTTGACGTGGCGTGGATGGTAAAGTTCCAATTAAACTTCCCAACATGCGATGAGTTGTTCTTAAAATGTACCAATCTATAAAATAAATATATAAATTATTAATAGTAAATAAATAAAATAAGTAAGGTCAGGATTTTTTGTACTTAAAAAGCTTAAAATAGTATGCATTTATGCATAAAAAAAACCTTAAAATTTGCACTTAATATTATTTATTTATAATTATACAAGCCGAAGCTCGACGAAACAAGAATATGTGCATATATTAACAGTAAACAATTTAACTTATGAGCTAATTTCTTTAAACTTGTAAATTTTAAATAACAATAAACGCTAGACAGTAAGACAGGGGTTCTCATATGCAAATAGCATAAGAGGTGGTAAAGGAGACCATGATAAATAGTTAAAGGAAAAATATATACAGAATAGATTAATAGAAAGTGTATTCTCAATGTCTGGCAGGTGGGAACTGTGAAAATATTTAGAGGAATTTTATTGTCAAGAAGTTTTGTTAAAAAAAAGTTCTCACCAGAAGCTCTATTATTATATATATTTAAATGGAACCCTAGTCAATTGCCACCTGACCATTTACCAAAGTTGGTGTTTAGGATTACATACTAACTATTTTTTGTATAATGTATTAATATGTATAACAAACAGTAATAAGAAAATAATTAAATTCCCTCCCACCAACTCATTAAAACTGATATTGCACTATGCCACTACTTAAATGAAATATAATATCAAATTCTTAAATATATAAATTAAACATGCTTACCATTTGAATTCCAAATAAATCCTTTATTATTAATCATGTGTATATCAATCACATTATTGCTCATTTTGCTTTCCATAAATAAATTTGGAATATACAAGTTAATAATTATTCACGTTACTTAACTATATTTGATCAATGACTATTCATAAATAAATCAAAGTAATGAAACCTAATGATTATTAATTAATAATAATTCTTCTCTTTATTTAAAAAAGTAGGTATAATTAATAAATACTGTTTTTACAAAAGCATAAAAATTTAGCTTATTTAAAATTAGTAATAACTAATAACCTATAACCTACGACTATTAATTATTTTTACATGTTTACATTTTGAATTGTGGTTGATTATGATTTAAGTTAAAAAATTTAAATTGTAAATAGAAACCAGTATCTAAATATCTAAATATCTATAGCTGTGAATCGTGATAGAAAAATTGAAATTGACGTTTGAAAGAAAAAAGAAATAGAACAATAATATAAAATACGAATTAGAATAAGAATGTTAAGTTATAATTCTAGAAATTCACCATCAGTTAATTATTAATGCTTTCCAATCTCAATTCGGTTTTCGTGATTTTATCATCTAAAAATCTAGCATGTACCACGGCTATAGATATTATATCTTTTTTTTATTCATATCTATAGCCGTAGTATCATTGTTCTATGGTAGTATGCATGGCTAAATATATAGGTATGATCGCAACTTTGTGATACGCAGGTGTCATGGCCGCCACTGGCAGTGATTTTTATCACTTCGATTTATCAGTTTACAGTTATCAAAATAATATAAATATTTATTTCATTTTAAAAATGTATTAAAATAAATATCCAACAGTATTCAAACTTCAAACAAATAGTTAAATATACGTCTAAAATTGTATACTGTTTAATAGTTGATCCTGTTGATAGTTTGATTTTAATTAGTAAGACACGATCATAGTTTAAATATTAAAAGTAAATATATTATAAAAATATACGTAAACATCGTTTACACGATCATTTTTTTTTAGCAAATAAATTTTTTGACATTTGTCCTTTTTACGTCAAATATTTTATTTGCTATTGCTTTGTTCAGATTGTTTAATCTTATGAAAGTTCTTGTCCGTACCAAACAATTAATCACCTCCACTGGAATTTCGTTATTAATTTCTTTGAGGACTAAATCTGTGACTTTTTTTATTATACCTGAAATGTAAGTATTTACAATTTTATATTTTATAAACTCATAGATATTATATTTTATACTATTTTCAAAAATCAACAAATATAATTATAGTGATGTAGTACCTATTAAAAATATTTATTTGATGTTGTGTACATACTATTTGTTAAGTTGTTAACCAAACCACATAATAATTACAAATACTTATTATTATTAGTTACCTGGTGATTTATTCAATCCATTATTTCCATGAAATATATTGAAAATTGTTTCAATAACATTTGCTACATAAGTAACATCGCTGGATGGTCTTATTAAATTGACTTTTGTCATTTGCTCGGTCCAACTTGAATTATTTTCGTTGCAATGGTATACTTTCTCTCCCAAGTATGGATACTTGCTTATAAACTTTTTAACTACCGATCCTATAATATATTCAATGCACTCTTTTTCAATTTCAGACATTTCATGAACTTCCATCAACGACTGAAATTTAAATAGATAATATACTACGCCATTGCTCATTAAAATACTCTATAATGTGCTGGTTAATAAAATATTACGTGTATATCATAATTGTCTAATAATTCTGAATTTGATTCTTCTGTATCTTCAGTATTTCCTCCGAGGTCAGACATAACAGAAGTTAATGCATCATCAGTTATATCTGCTTGAACATCGGTTGGAAAACATTCTATAACTTCAGCATCATTAAAAATTATTCCAGATAAGCAATTTACCAAACAGCTTTCATCTGTGTCTTGGGTATTATGGTTATTAGTAAATACCATGTTTGAATGCTTACCCAGTAAGTACCATCGTAAACTATTATTAAATAAAAATTAAATAACATTTCAGACTAATTTGACTTGAATATTAAAGAAATTACTTACCAATATTTAAATTCAATTGGTGTCATGTGAGTATTGGAACCAACCATACCTTTTAAATAACTGTATAGGTTTTCCAATACATCTGAATTTACTCGTCTTGTCATAATATAATAAATATCATTGTAATTATTTTTAATATCTATTAAAAGGTTTCTTAAAGATGCGTTAGTGACTAAAATTCCTGGAGGATAATTAATAGAAGAATTGTATACATTTTATTGATTATTCTATCATTAAAAACCATACCAGTTTGAAAAGGTAATCTTTTTTTACTTCCATGTACTTTCATGTTTTCAATTGTTGAATCCATCTTTTTCAGGAGTTCATTCTGACTGTCTTCATCCATACCATAACTTTTGGTGAATTTATCAATTGGCAACTGAGTGTTCAATAGATCAAACCAATCATTGAACAGCTTGATTAATTCTGAAGCCTAGAACCAGTATAGTAAATCAGTGTGCCGCAATAATGGCAATATTATGATTTGCACATACTTCTTTCCAGTTGTACATAGTAAGCATATTTTTTTTACCACAATATTTCAGTGCTTCAGCTAAACGATTAGAGAAAACTTGTGTAGCTAATTTCACATTTTGCCTTAATGTTCCTGTTACATTTATGTGTTTTTCTGAAAATCTATATGCCAATTCAAATTCTGATTTTTTTGATATTTTCAGATATTCTTCCAAAACATTTTTTCCAACATATACATTTTCTGGGAAATCAAAACCTTTATCAATAAAATGGTTTCTCGCCAATTTCAATAAATGAGGGACATCTGCGAATACATGGACTCTTTTTCTTGACACAGGATTTATGAACCAAGAAGAGGAAGGAGTGATGTCTAAATTCTTCCATAATCCTATATTAGTTGGCCCCATATCGCTTACTAATGCAACAACCTCAAAACCTGAGTTATGAATTTCAGATATAATATTGTACAGCAGGTCTTTTGTCATTGGACACTGAAAATCATAAAATACTGGTTGTTTCCAGGAACATGTAAGCCCTATAAATTAAAAATATGGTATTAGTTTAAATAGGTAACTTATATTTTATAGTTGAACATATTTTATTCAGCTCAAATATAGTTAATTGTTATATTTGTATAAGCAAGGAAGTATTAGCCATTGGGACTCTGAAAGTCTGAAACTTCTATTAGTATTATAATAACATTTATTGTTGTTCATTATTTTAATTTATTTTTAAAGTAGTTAAGTTATGTAACCAACCTCTAGCCATGACAGTTTGGACACACTTGTATGGTCCTAAAATTTGTTCATTTTTTTTATCATACGATATTTTATGAGAAATATACGTTTCATCAAAAGATAAGACTGTAATTTTGTCATTTCGGCTCATTGATTTTCCTGTTCAGTAAAAAATGTTTTATTGAATAAAAATTACTTATAAATAAAATAAGACTTACCTTTTTCCTTCATCAGGGCTAAAACATCAGTTAACATTCCCTTTTCAACTGAAAATGTAGCTGCCCACTTTCTCAATGTTGATAGACCTTTAAATTAAATCGTAAAATGCAATTTTTTTTTTTAAATCATCCATAAAAATATTTACTTACCTGGCAGGGGATAATTTTTTTTTCACGCAAATAAAAATAAGCTTTTGAAGATACACTTCTTAAAGATATAGCTGCAGCAATATCTTCATTTGACCACCTAAAAACTTTTTCTTTTGGATTTAAAATTAGATCAATTTGTGTTGGAGAAAACATTTCTGATAACTTTTCTCTAAAATGTATTTCAAACAGATGTTCTTGTCGTTTCTGGTCATTAGCTGTCAACAATTTTCCTTCTTGTATGGCTATAATATTTTTCAACCTTGTGATTTCTTCCTTCAAACTTTTGTTTTCTACCATTTTATCGTTTAACAGATTCTGTAGTCTTTAAAATGTTAACAAAAGATATAATATAAAACATATTTTTAATTTATTTTTATTAGTTTATTGTTTCAATTAAGTTATATCAATAACTACCTATATGTAAAAACTAAACCAAAATAATTGTTAATAAACACTATTAACTTAACAGATCATGCAAAACAAATAATAAATGTTAAAGAATAATAGTATTATTTCAAAAAATACTTCCCTGTTAATCATATTCATAATGTTTAAGGTTCAACTGTCAACTTCTATCTAAATTATTTTGAGTACACATAGTATTTCTAGTATAGGATAACTAAACACAAATGCCCATTGATTAAAACATAAAGCATTACACATTATTGAAAAAATTCTACGATTTGAGGTAGTAAATACCTTGAAATTTCTTGTGCATCATCTTTGTTTTTTTTCAAATTCCTAGCATATAATTATTTTTGTTAACAAAATACAATTATTTTCACTTCAATGAGCTCATATTTAACACATTTAAATTCTTACCAACTATCTTCAATACTAGGATGCTGAGCATCAATTGTCGATTTTGAACTCGTAGAAATATTAGAACCATTTATGGTTGTACAATAGTGGTCATTTTGAAAAGACATATTAAATAGATCAACTCTAGACAATTAATTAATAAATGTTTTAGTAGTTTAATAGGTACTCATTATTTTATAATTTTTATACCCAATCGATATTTTTAATACTTACCCACTCTCTTCTAAATTTACTAACTCATTATTAAGTGGTTCCTGATGAATCTGTTCCAACCTGTTAGAGTTATTGAATTATATATTATATTTTTGTTTTTAAAGGTAATAAAGTATAATTATTATTACCCGGCATCAACCAAATTAGTTGTTTCAGTTTCTGTTGTATTTTTCTCAACATAATCAATACAACTTGATGTATTCCATACTTTTAAAGTAGGAAGTGCATCAAACTTTAATTTGCGTTTATGCCTTGGTGAAATACCAAGCATAGTTTCAACCAGTGGCTTTGGAATATAGGCATTTTCATCAAAGTGCAATGAACAAATTCTCGCTAATTTAATTTAAAAAATAATTTGGTTTTTAAAATATAATTAAATAATATAAAAATTTGGTTTTGAGGTTAAGATCTATTAATTCCAAACTCTTGAAACTGAACAAACTTTTTTTCCCGCAGAAATTTTGTGTATTGTATATAATGCCCTATACAAAGTTTGTCGACTAGTTAGGTACAACTAATTTTAACTCATAAAAAATATTCGATTTATCTATCTCACCACAAGCACTGCTTAATGAGGTAGATTACAAATAATAATACATTGCAACAGTGTTAGTTTTAATTTGTAATTTTTTTTATGTATTATGTAATGTATTCTATTTTTCTTAAATAAAAAAAAATATATACAGACTGTACATTGTGGCTCCACCACATTGTGGTACAATGCCATCATAAATATAGGTATAAAAATGTACCTACACAAGTATTGGATGTAGGTATTAAACTTCTTACCGTTATTTGTATTTATACCATTTCTATTTTTGCCACAAGAATCAATCCATTTATCACAATAATAAGAGGTTTTTGGAAATCTAAAAAACCTTACATCTGAACCTTCATTACCATATAAATTAGCTCTATGTTTTCGTCCACTATTACAGTCTTTTACCGCACACCAAGACATATTAACAATAAAATTAATAATTAAACAAAATTATTAATATCAATGACATAAACTCGCATGAATAATAAATCAGACTACAATGCCAAGATTCCCGGTCATTTTTGTGTATACAAGTAAACTTAAAATTTAAATCATATTAATTCATGCTTTTGAGCGGTAAAATTCTATTAGTACCTACTAACCATTTGTGACACAAGTTATAGTGTGTTTGTTTTTCATATAAAAGGAATTGGATGAGTAAAAATAAATAACACAAATCATTTTAGTAATAAAAGTAATTATATTTCAAGAAATCAAGAGTAATACATATTGTACAAACATATAAAACAAAATCAAAACGAACTTTCCAGTTTTAATCAAGTTATAAATCGATAACTATAGCATAATAATAATAATAATAATATGGTATAATATTATTAGACTAATCGTTTATCAACATCAACGAAAGCGGCAAAAGCCGATGATAAAAATCACTGCCAGCTGAGATTTTTTTCCATGCTATAACATGGAATAATAGTACATGCGTAGCTCCTAACCATAGAGTATACTCCAAATACTCCAAATGCGTCTCAATGAGATCATACCTATATATTTAGCCATGGTAGTACCTAACCAACCATATGTGTCGACATTTAGAACTAATTTTACACCTATATATCTATAATCGGTTAATTGTAATACTGCCGCTTGGAGCGCCACTGGTTAATTATTGGTAGTCATTTCGTATTTCACCTTATCAGTAGTCGATGTGCAACCTGTATATCTTTAATCGTGGTAGAGAGCCTTTATATATCAAGGCTCTCTATGTACCTATTATGTACTTACTACTTATCATTTTTAGCCAAAAAAATTATACCGTGTTATTTCATTATCAAATATTCATGATAAGTAAAGGTATAAATAATAAATATTGTTAAATAATATAAACACAGATATCCATGGCAAATTATTACTATTATTTGTCTATTTTTCATGCCTAATTAATAATAAATTACGAAATAACACGTAACTAAAATTTTGCGTGTTATTAAATATTACTTTGTAATTGCATTGTCCCGAGATATAAGTGAAATAATTATTTAACAGTGAAAAATATACCTATTTAATTATAAAAACATGGAACCTCAATACAACAGTAAAAGTACAGGTAAGTAAATCACTTATTTTGAATAACAAATCATTGTTAAGAAAATAGAAATAAACAATATTGATTGTTTATATCTTTATGTTGTTGTTTTCATAAAATTATAATCCCCCCAAAACTATTCACCTAATCGAACAAAATATATAAAATGTGTTTACAATATTTAATTGTTTATTATAGGATAATAATCTATTACATATTATATTTTATTAAAACTTATTGTGAACATTATTTGTCAGTATGTTCATATAGATCATTAGAACTAAGTAATATAAATTTCTTTTAAATTTTTAGAAAACTTCTTAGTAAAACTTGTTTTTACCTAATGAGTGTCAAAAATATTCTTTTGATTTTGACATTTTTGATTTCTGAGTGTGCTGAATGCTGATATCAAGCAGAATAGTATTCTTGTCAGTGAATAACATTTGAAATTAAGAGGACACCACGCCCTCAATTGCAGGCTAGCTATGAATATATATTCACACTGTCATAATTTAGCAACAGAAATTGTCCTAATTGATGTTTGTGGGAATAAGGGTATGTGATCAGTGGCGTGGTGAATAGGGTTTTTTGACGCCTGAGTGTCATGGTGGATTTTTTTTGGGGGGGGGGGGGGGGGGGGGGAGGTGGTTTGGTACATTATGGTAACCAATAACATATTATTTACAGTCCCATAATAATTATATGTACCATATATTATATTTAGGGGGTTAATATTAGAGGGTAGGTACTGAAATATAATATGCTGGGCATCAAGGTTTATAAATGTTCACCACCCCACTGTATGTGATGCCCAAAAGAGGACAGTCTTGTTTTAAACTCGTTGTATGATCATCCGCCAAATTTTTCAAATTGACAATTAGTCAAATCATTTACTTATAGATGTTATGGTCCAGAGGAGTCAAATTTACGAGTCTAATTGCTTTCTTCAATTAAAACAGTTTGAGTAGTCTTCTTCTTTTTGTGCAGTCTTCAGTTTTTTATACCATTCATTTTTCAATAAGCTGACATTTTTATATCTTTGTCCTTTCTATACTCGGTACCAAATAAGAGCGAACAATGAATCGTGGAGTGACATCCGAACCCCCTGGCAGGGTCTATTCGCTCTGTCATTGGTCGCCGTTAGTCGGCCGTATTCGCCACCGACACTCTACCCTACCACATGCTGCGTCAGCGCTCTTTGTCATGCGCAAGTGTCGGCTGGTTTCCGTGCACCGCCCGGTACGCTCTTATTTGGTACAGAGTATATACCTAATCGGTAGCGGTGACCATGTAAAAAGATCTGTGTCTTGTCCCTCGCCCTTTTGCATTTTTATCATATTTAATACTAGTTTTTTTTTTTTATATATAATTACCATATAGAAGCTATGAAATATACAATGGTAGTAATTTATTTAAAAGATTAATATTTTAACAATTTATTAATACTTGGAGTCAAAATTTTTATTTTTATTACAGCTGTGAAACGTTTAATGAGAGAAGCAATAGAGTTGTCAGAGCCAACAGACGAATACAGTGCTCATCCATTAGAAGACAATTTATTTGAATGGCACTTTACTATGCGTGGTCCACAGGCGTCAGAGTTTGATGGTGGTATTTATCATGGTCGTATATTATTACCAACTGAATATCCCATGAAGCCACCTAACATAATACTATTAACTGTGCGTAATAACAAGTGTAATTTAACAGTAATTTTACATAATATTATTAATTGTGTAGCCAAATGGTCGATGGGAAACAAACAAAAAAATATGCTTAAGCATTTCCAGTCATCATCCAGAAACTTGGCAACCATCATGGTCGATTAGAACAGCTCTATTAGCATTGATTGCGTTTATGCCAACTAATGGCCGAGGTTCATTGGGAGCTCTTGAATATACTCCTGAAGAAAGACTAAGTTTGGCTAAAAAGTAATATATTGTATTCAAAAGAAAACTTTATTATAAAATACTTAATAATATTGAAAATATTTTTAATTTAGGTCTCGGAATTGGATTTGTGACTGTTGTGGTCAGATATCTAATTTATTAGCTAATAATAAAGCAAAACCTTTGACAAAAGAAGAAAGTGAACTCATAAAAAGTGTAACATTTAAGGTAATTAAAAATAACAAATTCATTTTTAAACAATTAAAGTTTATTGTATTGTAAATCACAATACATTATCTATGTTTATCACCAGGGAGAAGAAGGAGCTGAAAAAGTCTCCAAACCATCTGACCAACAAAAACAGGAAGTGGAAGCAGTCAATGAAGAACCAATAGTAAATAATATTTCACCCAACTTTTTTAAAGATGCATTATGCTCAGATATTGGAATGTACCTAATATATTTAATTATTGCACTCATTAGTATATTAGTAGCACGACGTTTTTATAGTGCTTAATTTTATTGTCTAAATCATTTATTTTACTACAACTATTATCAACTATTATTAAATTATTTAAACAAAACATTTTACCAAAAATATATAATTATCCAATACAATATTTATTAATTATAGTTAAAAAATATACTATGGACACCACTCTGCACTGTAGGTATTTTAATAAGGTAGTTATTGTTTGATTACATCTATACGAAACACTATTAAAATGTTTATTAATAAATATCTAAGGTTTAACTGGATTATTATTTTATTTTTTCATCAGTTTCTTCCAACTTCTTTTCAAATTTTTCAAATTCAACTTTTGTTCGTATTTCAATTTCATCTTCAACTTGTTCGACAGCTATCACCTTCAACACAATAAATATACTAAACATTGTGGTATTCTACTTATTGCTCTAACTAATATTAATTCAGGTTATAACTTGAACCAGTGGCGTATCCAGAATTTTTTTTTTTTTTTGGGTGGGTGGGGGGTTACATCCTCCTAGGTACGCCACTGCCTTAATATAGGTTTTAAAGTTTAAAACATGAAAATAAAATAATTTTTACCTCAGGTATATAAAATTGAAGCATGTTTTGAACTCCACCTTTTAGGGTAACTACTGAACTTGGACAGCTAGTACAAGATCCTTGTAATTTCAACTTGACGATTCCTGCATCATATCCCTAAATACATAGCAATACATTTACATAAATTTAATAAAAATATATGTTGCAACTGATTATATAGATGCTATTTCATTTTTTTAAAGTATAAAGTATGGATCACAAACAATAATATTACAAAATAAAATATGAGCCAAAAATAATATGAATAAAAAAAATAAAAAATATATGCTGTCATTCAAATAAGTAAAAACTTAAAAAAAGAATAATTTATTTTTTCAAAAATATTGCTTTGTAATGACTTCAAAATAATATTTCCTAACCTTCAACTTTGATAATTTTAGAGAAAATTAGTATTTTCCTTTAAAAGAACTTATATACATAATAAAATCGAATAACAAATTTATTTGTTTTTTGGTAATATGAATGTGCTAGTGGCCCATTTTCAAATAATTAGTAATCTTAATAAAGAAAAGTTTTACTATAAAAAGAATATCACCACCATCTTCTTGTACAGTTGGTCTAATTCTGCTATCAAGAAGTTCTTTAATCATCATCACAGTTTCATTATCATCTTCATGAATTTCTTAAAAAAAACAATTGTATAAAATGACTAAGAATATTAATAAAATAAATTTTAAATTTAAATCATAAATCCACTCACGAGTATCACTAGTTGGTTTAGCATCAGTTAATATAGGTAAACCACTTGCAAAAAAATCCATAATGGTAGCATATATTTCAGGTTTAAGAACCATCCATTCTATATCATCGTCTGCTTTTGTTAAAGTAATATAATCCGAACCAAAAAAGACACTTTTTACCCCTTCAATACGAAACAAAACTTTAGCTAAAGGACTGCAGTACGCTGCTGTAGCATTAGGAAAATCCATTGTATGACCTTTTTCCAACACCTATATTTACAAAACAATTTTTATTTCATACCTAATAATAGAATATTTGGTAACATATATGCTCACGGCTTACCTGAACACCAGGTAAAAACTTAACACTATTTGGATTAGGAGTATCTTGAGTTTGTATAAACATAGAACGATTTGATATAAAAAAAGGCCGATGTTTCACTTTAGGAAACAGTTTGGAACTAGTAGCAATTGGTTTTTGGACTCTAAAAATATAATATATCATTAGAAGGCAAAGATAAATTGAATATAAAGAGTTCAAACCTAAAACTAAATCTAAATCCTATATTCATTACTCATTACTAATTATGATTTTAATAGGTACAGTAGTCTCCATTGGCGCAACTAGGAGGATGCAAAAAGGTCTTTAGCGCCCCTTGTTTTTGTAGGTCTAACTATCATTATTATATTGAAATAACATAAATTCTATGTTTTTAAAATATGAAATATTATAGCACCCCACGTTTTAGAGGTCAGTTGTGCCTATGGTAGTCTCGCTAATCTAGACTTGACTCATCTGGACATTCAGTTAATTATTTATATTCGAAACAATGACTATATGACATAATATGTACAAGAGGTATGCTATACAATTTTGTTTTTTTTACACTAAATCAATACATAGGTTAAAAATTAAGCTAAAATAATATTGGGACTAAAAAAGTAATATCTTATATTATAATAAGGCACTAAGATGATTAGGTTAGGTTAGTTTATAAATAAAATGTTATCATTTATAAGAATAATTCAGAAATGTTTCACTGTCACGTCAGTCAAATAACCTTGTGTCCTTATAATAATCCATAAATAATGAAAAAGTTCTCATACTTTAATGTTTAATAAGAAAAGCCATAAACTAATTCAAGTGGACTATAAAAATAAAATAATACAGTTTAAGCTATACAAAGTTTATTGTTTTAAATAAAATTGATTGGCAATATTTCTTAAGTCTGACAGAGAATTCATTAAAATATATTTAATAGCGGAAAAGTATATTATTGTACAATGATTAAAAACATTACTACTAACACAGAACATAGCTCCTAACTAAACTTGCCCTGTAGTTTCTTTTTTAAAATTAAATTATTCTATATTTCTATTAATACCATTAACAGATATACTACATAACTAAGTATTAGCTAATAACAAAAATAATCCTGCAGTGGCGGATCCAGGGTTTAATTTTGGGGGGGCCTCCTAAAAAAAATACTTCTAAGCCATAAATATAATAATAATATAATTTTAAATAATTAAACATTATATGCAATTATTGTAAATGTTTTCATTCTAATAACATTAACAATGGTTTTCAAAATAGATAAATAAATTGTGTAATTAATTAATAATGCGTTACATTAGACACTTTAAAATATTTCTGTAAGTAAAAATATGAGTCTGTTGAAGAGGTATGGGAGGCAAAGGCCCCTGGGCCCCCCTAGATCTGCCACTGTAATCCTGATGCTTTTAAAATATAATTGTACTACCGAGAATGTGAAAATAAAAAATTATAAAAATCAAATAAATTCTTAAATTATAGCCCATAGGCAATGGGGTGGTATATTAAAATTATAATTGTTTTTAACTTATAAAATATAATTTATATCCATTTTTTTTCTTAAATAAAATAGTATTTATAGTTACTTACTTTAGCAACAATGGTACTACATTAATTAAATGCACAAATCGCCTCATTTTCTTAATTGTGTAGATTTTTATACAATTACCGTTGATCAAAATAAATATGAATTTGTGTATCCTAGTTGATTCTAAAATACTAAAATAGGTAGGTATAATCTTAAAGAAAAAATATTTTTCATATGAATCTATATTTGGTTATATACGAGTATACGATTGTAACAAAAATATTTAATTTTTCTATGTATAATGTATCGTTCAGTTAAATTAGCAACTGCAATAAACTAATTATTTATTTTAAATTAAATAACTATACATATTATGTACAAGTATATTCATATAAAGCCGTTATCGATATCATTATTTATAATAAACATTCAACACAATATATTTAGGTATAGTTAAAATCTCTACTTGTTTTTTTAATCGCCTTCACCTACAATATCCGCTGTAAATCTTCATTCTATAGAAATATAGAATGCATTTTTTTTACGATTGCACGAAGTGTCGAAGTACTTATTGGCTATTTATTCTGTGCTAAATTGCTGAATTCGTGGTTAGTGATAAGATAACTGGTAAGAGATAATATATTATCAATATTTTGTTCGGCCCTGATGTCTCCACTGAGCATGCGCAAATCCATTGCCCACGCGCAAAACTTTAACGCGTTTATGTTACGTAATTACGCATAATGGATATGATGTTACCCTTACCAGTTACCACGAATACCACGGATATAGAACTATATCTGAATTCGTGCCCCTTACCCGTCCCTTGCTATAATTTTCATTTCTGATGCATGCGCAATAAATTCGTCAGGGACGAACAGCGCGATCAAATCGACTTCAAGCGACTACGCGTGATAGATATACATTATACATATAGATATAACATAATATTATAGATTTATGATCTCTAGCCCAGTTCACCCCCCACCCCTAAATCTACTATGAACCCGCCCCTACCGAATTTTTTTTTGTGTACGTGCCTGAATCCCTTAAATCAGTGGTCTTTAACCTTTTTGGACTCGCAACCCACTTTTTAGGGCTACATTTTTCGCGACCCACGTAAGCAGCTTTGTAGAAAAACAAAAAAAAAGATAAAATTGCTTAATGCGTTGTATAGTAGTACTATACCTGTTATAACTGAATAAACTGAATAATATACTGTGATTTGATATCCATTTTTTTATAGAATATAGATTATATAAACTGTATTTTTATTTATTTCAAACGGAAGACGTATTGCGACCCAATTTTAAAGCTTACGCGACCCACCGGTTGAAGACCACTGTCCTAGATCATATATCTGTATGTATGACTGTATATGAGAGAAGACCGTTCATAGCGGCCAATAATGAATAAATGTACTAACTAGTTTATACTAGAAGGACGAAAATAAGACGTGTTGGACGGCGGACGTTGGTGTCTTTTCGTTGCACCACAGGTCGGCGGTGTTGTGGCGGTATAATATTATATCCGTCGATATAAAATATTATGTACGTTGCTGCGTCGTTAGCGCACGGCACCCTCGCTACCAGTTAGTCTAATTTTCACTACGGACTGTTGTGCATAGTAGTCATATTAACCCGTATACCTAGTAAATATTATTTCCGTCGACTGGTAATATACGTTGTCGCCTGTCGGGTTGTCGTCGAGTCGTCAGTAAGAACAACATTCAGCACGGTGTACACACCTCCCCTTTAAGGTCCATTCCCACTGCTCCTGCACGTGTCCGTGTCAGTTTTTGGCACGTCCGGGTCGGCCCGGTCAGGTATTCACACTATTCAGTGCCCCGTCCGTGTTAATAGAATATTTTGTCATCAGTTGATATGGGGCATCGAACTTAGACTTCCGTGAAGTTGGCACCCCCCTCTTTGAGATATCGACTTCAAACCAATGCTAATATTTTGCAACTGAATTGCAACAATTTGCAACACCAATTTTGAAATTTGCAACTTGCCCCATTCACCTGAAAATCCGATTTCCCGTTGGTAGTACCATCAATAAATTGTCGTTGACAGTGGTGTTTTGGAGGGTATACGCGGGTATACGACGTATACCCTATCACCAGTTTACTGATTTAGCGTATACCCTGTAAAATTACTAGAGATACGCAAGTATACGCGCGTATACCCACGTATACCTTCAAAAAACTTAAGTAAAATAAAATAGTAATTGCTTCCAAAAAAATATTTTTATCTTTATTTTCAACGATGGAAAATTATCAAATTTTTTTTAATGATAATCGACTAATAACCATCATATCAATATCAAATTCATATATTTACAATTATAATCACGGCTATGGATACAATTATTTAAAACTATCGACGTTATGGACACAGCCCACAGATATTTTTATAATATTATCTGTATAGTTATGGTTGACTTGAGAGACTGCCGATTATAAGAATGATATTGTATTTATTGTATCGACAGCGGCTTCAAAAACAAAACAGTTATTCACAGATGCCTTATCACAATCAGTTAGATTTGGTAGAAAACAGCGACATTGATAAGGATTTGCAGATTCTATAGTCAGTCAATTATTTTATATTTATGAAATTATGTAATATATTACTATTCAGAATATATTCTTAGTAAAAAAGATTTTATTTAATTACCAATTGTCTTATAATAATAACCGTTAGAAACTTAGAAAAATGTATTAGACCATTTTTTTTTTTACTGCTCACATGTCAAACAGAACGAAATTATGTAACAAAAAGTAAGTTCTAACTCAGTGCTTGGAATTAACTCGTTCAAAGGAATCCCTTCCTTTGATTTCGTTCCATTTTTAGGAACTTATCGGGAACGTAGTTCCTTTTTCATGTTTAGGAACGTACTGAAATTTCGTTCACTTTTTAGAGGAACATGAACGATTTTTTTCGTTCCTTTCTTCGTTCATTTATTTTTAAATAAAAGTAATTAAATCATTTTTAAAACTAAAAGGAAAAAAATGTATAGCTTCTATTAAAATTTAGTAACTAATATGAAGAGCTATAAAAATAAACATGTATACGATATTATTGATAATGTTTACAAAATATAAATTCTGTATTTCTGTAGCAGAGGTTTATTTATACAGCTTATTAAATATATAAGTTAAAAGTACTTAAAACTATTACTAAATGTCTAAATAACAATGTGTTATGTTTAAAATTTTAAAATTAAAACAATTATAGTATAAACATGTGCGATGTACCTATGTTTTTTTATTTTAAGTCACATTAAAAAGGGACGAGGAAAGGAACTAATTCCTATCTTCAAGGCAGGAATGGTAAAGGATTTAGTTCCTTTTTTAAAGGAACTTTTTAAGCACTGTAACTCCATCTCATCCTGATGCAAAATGTCTAAAATCCTTTTTCTGGGGGGGGGGGGCTAGGTAAATAAATCGACATATAAAGGCGCGGTGGTATACCGCACGATCCACCATAAGTTAATTTTTTGTTTGTTTAGAAAAATTTTTTTTTGAGCTTATGTGCTAAGCGTATACCCTAGAAAAAAATTACCAATACATCACTGGTCGTTGACAATTATTAAAAATTATTTTTATTTATCGACGTTATAAATTATTATTCAATAATGCCTAACTCAAAAATAATTTATAATAGGTACTGATTTATAAAATATAATTTAATTCATAAAAGTTATAAAAAAAAAAAAGAATAGCCCTGAGGGACTTATATTATAATTATAACTTTCTGAATTCCGTTTATGATTATTTAGTACTTATAGGTACACAATTAAGTTTTTAGGAAAATATATCTGATTATTAACATATTATTCATATGATTACATATTACGGTATTAATCTAGGATAGTTTTACGCCTCCATAAAATTTTACTGGGGCTATAAATATCCTAGGTTTATTTTACCCCCGGTAAAAATATACTAGGTTAATTTTACATTAGTTTGGATTTCGCAACAAACATTCAACAATCGATTAAGTACATCGAGTTACCAATGTGATTAGTAAAGCTCTTGAAGAAAAAAAGTACTGCTGTGGAGTATTCCTTGAAGTAGCCCAGGCTTTTGACAAAGTCTGGCACAAAGGATTTCTCATCAAACTGCGTGAGCGTGATCAGCTCCCACATACCTGGTGTGCATTTCTTGAATCATACTTGACCGACCGTCAATTTCGAGTCATGCACGAAGAAGCGATAACGGAATGGAAAGATATATCAGCTGGAGTACCGCAAGGTTATGTTTTAGTACCTATCCTTTCATCTATTCTGTGTACCTACTCTATACGGCTGATATACCAAAGGATGATAAGTGATAACATAACATTAGCTATGTTTGCCAATGATATGGTAAGTCAACAATTGACAATATCTTTGCTGGACAAAACGTTGGAAAATTAAGATCAATGACAATAAATCGGTGCACGTTAACTATACGTTACGCAAAACCAAAAACATCCAAATAGTACTGAATCAATCGCCAATCCCACAAAAAGATTCAGCAAAATATCTTGGAATGCACCTTAATTCTCGTGTAAACTGGAAACACCAAAAAACACAAAAAAATCAGATTAAAGAAAAACCGAGAAAACTTTATTGGTTAGTCAGCCCTCACTCCGAGTTAACCATCGAAAACAAACGTCTACTGTATGTAGCAATTATAAAATCAATCTGTATATATGGCATTCAATTGTGGGGTTGTGCCAGTAAGTCTAACATCGGTGTAATACAACGCTGTCAAAACATTGCCCTTCGGACCATCACTGCAGCCTATCGGTTCAAAAGAAACAACGCAATTCACCGTGATATGATGCTGCCTACAATAGCAGACGAAATCCAAAGGTTTGCTCGCAAACACGAGACGAGGCTAGATCACCATGTCAATCTATTGGGCATTGGCCATCCAACTATTAGATAACTCTAAGGAATCAGACGTCTTAAGCGTCTGAAACTATACGACTTATAGTTTTAGATTTTAGATTAAGGCAGGAGGCACTTCATTGGAAGTGACTCAATCAACGTGTAATATATATATAATTTATATCTAGTATGTAAAATATGTATAATTGTCAAACATATACTTAGGGCTCTGCACCCCTCCCCCACCACTCATTTAATCATAAAATCTATTATCTATTTTTGTGTCATTTTATATTCTGTTTCAACATCTCTTCTTCGACCTTCCTATCCATTACATTTTTTCCACATTTATTTCCATAGCAACTCTACCCTCACTGCTTCAGAATCCCCTTTTCTTATAAAATGACGAACCATCTAGGCATCTAAACTTATTTTCCCTAAGTCTGTCTAGGATTGGTGCCAGTGGTGCCACTCCTATACCAGTGGCGTGCTCAGCTTTTTCCTACGAAGGGGGGGATGAACAGATATATCTGTATATTATCTGTATATATCTGTATAAGTATATTTGTATACAAACACACAATTTTTTTTTTTGAGTGAACCGAAATTATCGAAGAACTATAAATTACGTTATAGTTATTACGATAGTTCATGGGGGATATGACACCCTCCCCCCCGTGAGCATGCCCCTGTCCTTTACAAATATAGTAGTAGGTATATACTAATCCTATTATGGATATTAGTATTTAGTATATTTCTATATTCCTGTCACACCACGGAACGGGCGATTTGCGTTTGGGCGAAATTTTTGAAAATGCAATGTGTTTGGGCAATTTAGCATAATGCGTTTGGGCGAGTGATTTTAAAACATTGTAATGTGTTTGGGCGATCTTGTATAATACCCTGGAATGCTGTATTTTATCAATTCATTTTCTCTCTCATTTTGACAGACTTGAGTTGTTCATGAATTCCAAGGGTACGATTAAAAGTGGATTGGTTTTTTTTTAGTGTGTACAAAAATTGAAACTATTGAAAATCAAGTTAAAATATTATTAAAATAAAAATAATATGTATAAGTTAAATATAAGTGTGTGTAATTAAAAATTAAAATTATGTGCCATATTTAGATTGACATAAAATTCCCAATAGATTTTATATATTATTTTTGTCTTAATTTTTACAAACTTGCAATTTCCTCTTTTACATTGTATCATACTCGCTCAAACACATTATAAGAAACTCGCCCAAATACATTACTTTTATTATATGGGTAAAAAGGTATTTCGCCCAAACGCATGACGCCCCCACGGAACAGCGGTCCACAACTCATGGGCTGTGGGTCAGTGGTACTGGGCCGCGGACGCTAATCGAGTATAAGCCAAGGTTCAACAAATTTTAATTGGAATCAACATCGAGATTTTTATATACGTTTATATTAATTCTTCTATCGTCTTATTTGGGTGTTTATATTTTTTACCTGTATATTAGGTTAGTGGGCCTCAAAGTTTTTTTCACAAAAATATTAAATGGTGGTCCGCACAAGGCACAACTAAAGAGGTTCGGAAATAATAATGTTTAGACTATGGTATTATGTCTAATGTCTATATGTATACAAACAATACGTAATACGTACAATATTAATCTTAAAAATAAATATTTATCTTTGAAGTTAATATTTCTAATTAAGGGAAATGAATCAATAAGATGGCATAAAACTTTTGGATTACTACTCTGTCTCCAAACAACTTTAAAAGCATAACCAACACGTCTAAATAATTTCAAATAAAATTTCAAGATTCAGAAGGCTAACATCGATTTCACGAAATTTAATTTTGAAAAAACGTCTTTATAAAATACTAGCTGATCCCGATGGTAGCTTGAAACTCATCGACCTTCATGCCGTAGGTATATAGGTAGGGGAACGTTCAACGTGGGGCAGAACGGGGCCATGAGGAAAAACGGAGACATTTTGATATTTATGTCTCTGTTCCCATATGTGAACATGAAAATTTTATTACATGATATTGTCATAGATATATACAACAACTAGATATCCGTCATTATACTACCATATACTACAGTTGTGACCAATATTGAAATCGGCCGCCATTTACAAAGCAAGCAATGTTTACATTTATTTTACATTTATTTATATACATATATAAATTTATCTATACATAAATACTATGATAGTATTATTTTGTAAACATTGCCTGCTTTGTAAATGGCGGCCGACTTCGATGACAAGAAGGAGGGGACGGCTATCTAGTTGTTGTATATATCTATGACAATATAGAAATTTGCTAGACTAAGGGCCGTTCTTACAATGTCCGGTAAAGTGTCGGTTAACGCTAACCGACTGATAACAGATTTTATTACCGGCAGAATTCTTCCGGTTAAGTGTCGGTTAACTTTAACCGGACGTCGTAAGAACGGCCCTAAACCGGTGTGACTACACCGAGATTTTTGGACCATATCATTTACATGGTTAATTATCCCAATGCGGGATAATGTGGGATAATTTTAAACCGGTTTAGTCTAGCGAATTTCGAATATCTTGTAATAAAATTGTCATGTTCACTTATTATCAATTATCTTATCAGTTATAAATTAAAAACATTACACATGCCTCTTATCAATTGATTGATACAATAAACTGTTATTTAATATTTTATTTCGAAATATTTTTATGGTTTACTTACTGTCTAGTTACTAGTTACTATTGTATCTTAAATTTGTAATCTTTAATTGTAATCATTGGGGCATTATGGGGTACCCGTACCTTAACTGATACGACTTTAATTTTGAAGTTTACCTACTTGGGTAGGCACTACATCAATAATATGTATTTAATTAAAATGTACCTATTTAATAAATGTAAAAGTTTAAATTTACAAACACTTATTATTTTTTGTTATTGTACAATTATTATATTAAAATATATTCCTATTAGTATAATATAATATATTACATTACCTATGTATATTCAAGTTATTCAAGTTATACCTACAAGTTGATTAACGAAATAATATTTATGTGAAATAAATAAAATTTGAGGGACGTCCCCATTTTGGTAAAAGGAAGCTTCGCCCCCGTCTATTATTAAGATAGGACATTTGGCCCCCGGAAGTTATGTGATGTTATTTACCTAACCATAGGACGTTTGACCCCCGGTATAATCACTATATTTAAATGTTTTTTTTAAAATTATTTTTAAAACACCCACATTTTCAATATAATTTATATTAATATAGCTCTCTCAATTCACCCCTACCCATGTCACTTCCCGCTAAAAACACCTCTCCGGGTGAAATTGAACACATTATCAACCAACTCCCTATTAAAAAATCACCAGGTCATGATCTAATTAGTAATGTTATTACAAAGAACCTTCCCAAAAAAATTATTATTTTTTTATCACACATATTCAACGCCATTTTCAGACTATCGTACTTTCCAAACACTTGGGAATACTCGGTCGTTATTCTAATACCTAAGCCCAATAATTCACCACAAGATCCTGCCTCTTACAGACCCATAAGTCTTCTCCCAACCTTTTCTAAAATTTTTGAGAAAATTCTTTTAAAAAAACTCATTCATTTTGCCTCTTCAAAAAACATAATTCCACACACACAATTCAGATTCAGATCAAAACCTTCTACATTGCACCAATTACACAGAACAGTCGATATCATATCCAGCTCCCTGGAAAAAAAAACAGTTCTGTTCAGCAGTATTCCTTGACATCTCCCAAGCCATTTGATCGGGTTTGGCACGACGGACTAATGTACAAACTTAAAAAGTTCTTACCCGCCCCTCTTTTCCTCTTGATAAAATCATATCTGTCAAATCATTTCTTTACTGTTCGCCTAAACAACACCTACTCAACCCGTTACACTATTAGAGCTGGAGTCCCACGAGGAAACGACATCGCTCCATTCCTTTACTCGATTTTCACTCATGACATACCCAAGACATTTTATACATCTATAGGCACATACGCTAATAACCGCCTCCCACGAAAGCCACGTCACAGCCAGTGAAATGGTCCAAAACCATTTAAATATGATCAGCTTGTGGGCAAACAGATGAAAAATCAAAATAAACGAAAAAGTAACATTTTCACTACGAAATCTCGATTCTCCACCTGTCACGTTAAACTGCAATATAACAATTCCTAAGGCAAACAAAGTTAAATACCTTGGGCTAACTCTCGGCAAACGCTTAACCTGGAGCCCACACATCAAACTTAAACGCAAAAATGTTAACTATAGACTTCATATCCTTAGACCACTCTTAAAATACAAACTTTCCCTTTCTAATAAACTTAATATAAACAAATCAATAATTCGACCAGCTTGGACATATGGTATCCACTGGATGTTTTAGATGTGCATGCTGCAAACTGCAAAGTATTATAAATTTATAATCTTATAAACAATTAAGAACTAAGAAGTATATATTTATATAACAATATAAATTATATTAGGTATTACTTTATAGGTTATAGTTCATTGTAAAAGATTGTTCATTTTTGAACTTTTTTCTAGTTTTTTTGATATGATTTATAAATTATAATACTATATTAATACCAATACTGAATAGGTACACAATATTTTATATTTTACAGTTACAAATACAAACTTAATTTATAAGTTTATAACTACTTATTATAACACAATATTTTAGAAATCCGTAAACTTTGGTTGACAACTGATAAGTTATTCATTATCAATGTGTTCTGTGTGTAATTAATATTTAATTTATTATTCCTAATAATTTATAACATTTATAACTAATACTTTATAGTTAGTGGTACTCAAAATGGTTATTATGCTTACCTTTATGTTGGTGGCACAGTGTTATCCACGCATCGTACTGACTGTGACTAGTGACCACTAAATACCTATTAGACACTGGTACTATATTCGACATTCGACGGTAAACACGAAACAACGTTTATTTTTAAAATTTCCTGTATTGATGGAACGTAATATTATTATTATTATTATTTAATAACCGATAAGGGTATGGCGAGCGGAATGGCCATATTTTAAGAAATACGAACAAATGCTATTTATAAATAATACCATTTTTCCAAGTATATAAATTGATTAACCCAGACCAATGAAATATCCATTATTATATAGGTAGTACATACATTATAATATAAAAAAGACCGGACTGGACCATACCCAGTTATATTAAAAAAACATAAAACCAAACCTAACCCATTATAATATGACTGTGCCCCGAACCGAACACCTAAACCAAGAATATAAAATATTTTGACCCAGACCGGACCTAACCCGGATCCGGTCCGGGTGTTTCCGGTCCGGTCCGGGTTGACCCGGGACCGGGCTGATCTCTAGTATCCAGTTATGGGGCTCTGCAAAGCCCTCTAACACCAACACGCTTCAAGCTTTTCAACCTATCTGCCTAGTGCCTACGATTAATAACATCTTCTCCTTGGAATTTCACAAACAATAATCTTCACAAAGACCTAAAAATTCCTACACTTAATCAATTAGCAAAAGCACATTACTCTAAATTTCACTCCAACTTAAACTCTCACAGTAATCCATTAATAAAGCAACTTTCTTCCACCTCACTTATTGGCAATGTACATTGTAGATAGAAGACTCAAAAGACAGTGGCCTAGAGACCTACTAAAATAAAAAAATTAAAAAAAAACCACGACATCAAAATGTTTTTCGGTCGGGTGGTGCTGCTGAGTGCCTGCCCTTAAATGTTAAATTCTGTTATTTCACATTATATTAACTATCAAATTTGCCCATTGTATATAATGTTTTATAGATTGTAAATTACTTAAATATAAAAAAAAAAAAAAAAATATGTGGGGATGGTCACAAAATTTAAATTTGATTTGACAAATCAAAAAACATTCTAAAAACAAACTACTTCAAAAATAGTCAGGTGTATAGCTTACCAACAACTTGTAATAATAAAATTGCTAATTTTGATTTTTTTATTCGATTCCTGCTCTAAGCTAAAAACTTGTATTTATAATTTTAATATTGATGTTTAATTTGTTCTCAGTTATTTCAACTATTGTCTTCATGTGTTAAATTAACAATAAAATTAGTCTTTCAATACTGTACTCTTGGGGTTTTAGTTTTTACATATATTTATTTATTGAATAAATATTATACCTATTATTATTATTAAAACTAATAACTTTTTTCAAAATATTATTTTTGGGAATTTCCTAAAATGTGAAATTACCAATTTTCAATTTTGTTTAAATTGTTCGGTGACAAGGACGACAACATAACTCCCGGGTACCAAATGTCCTATCTTAATAATAGACGGGGACAAAAATGTCCGTGGACTAATTTTTTTTATGAGGACGAAACGTCCGCGATTCCCCCATTTTTCCCCAGGTATGGGGCAAAACGTGAACAATTATACATAAACCTATTTTGACTATGAGACTAAACTGAATGTTTACAACATGCTAACATACTAATAACCTTATCCTAAAGATTACACGGTTCAAGTTTTAAATCAAAAACTCAATTTTTGAGTGAAGTATAGCTTATTATACCTTTTGGTCCCTGTTATGCCCCACCTTTCCCAATACAATTTACACGTTTACTTTAATTATTAATAATAACTAATTATTTATTAATTTAATCGGACTAAATTTATGTCTATGACACTCACAAAGAATTTAACCTTCTATTGGTGAAAGAATTTTTGAAAACGGTCCAGTAGTTTTTGAGTTTAATTGTTACAAACAAACAAATTCCTCTTTATAATATTAGTATAGATTAAAATATATGTCATTGTTTGTATTCTGTAATAATATAATGCATTCTATATGAACGATCAAAATAAATTTACATAAACATAATTATAACAAATTATAATAGAATGATTGATGTACAGTGGATTCTGCTTAATGTGGCCACCGGTTAATACAGGCATCCGCTTTTTGTGGGCAAACATGTCTGGTCCTAATACAAATGTTTAGTTATAACTAATTTTGGTTTTAATGGGCAATCGCTTAATGTGGGCAAACAGGACTGGTCCCAACGTACCCTTAAGCGGAATCCACTGTAGTTACTAGTTGGTATTAAAATGATTGTACCAACGTAGCTCACGTCTTACATTCTCGTAATGATTTCGTTTTATAAATTATATTTGGTACAGAATTTATTTTGCATGAAAAAAAAATTAATTTATACCAGTGTCAATATTATTCAATAGTGATTGGGTGAGAGAACATTCAATACCTACTCGATACTCCGATTATGAATATACAATTTACAGGCATTTGTAGTTAATTATATTTTGTCATATTATTATTATGGTTTATATCAAGCTGATCATATTATTATCCTACACGCACAATGAAATAATCTGTATGGGTACTTTGTAGTAATCTAAGACCGTGCTTGGAATCTAACAAACAAGGTATAGTTATTATTAAGGTGGGAATTCAATATTTACAACTCCTAAATACTTTTAGTTATTATATTATAATGTAGGTATTTCATACATAATAAATACCTATCTGTTAAACATCATATAGTAAATTACCAAAAAGGTTTATTTTTTGTAATAATTGTTCTTTTAAAACTTACTATTAAAAATAGACTTGACATTGAGTTACAATGTTATAAATGACACTATAAAAATACAAAATGGGCTGATTTATTTGTTTTTTTTTATAAGAATTTAATGACTGCATACAGGCAAGCGACTGGACTATATTCTTTATTTTTATCACAGAGTAAGAAGATATTTTTATGAATAAAAACATATTAAGGTCTATATTATGCAAGTACACAATTTTAAATTAAAAATGTAATTAATATTTGCCATACTGAATGATGACATAAAATAAATATACCAGTGTTCAAAAGCAAAAACTGTTGGTAAGTCCAAGGAACAGACAAACATTTCAACTCCCTTTTCCACTAACCATACAATTCATTATTCTCATAAAAAAACCAATCCATTTTGTTTTATAATTTATGGATTATATAGCAATGGTTAATAAGAGTTTTGATGTTATTTAATAGTAGTAAAATATTTTTTTTTTTTTTAATAACAAAATTTCAATTTTGAATAGCAAAAAAAATACAAGTCATAATCGACATAGTATCACAAACCAAAAGGAAAATATCACAATACATATTTTCAAAATGTTTACAATTCTATGTTAATAATTGCTGACATAGACATTTTTGTTGTCTAAAAATATATTACCAATATACTTCCAATAAATAAGTAAAAAACAATCTGAATGTATCATTATTCATTACCATAATTATTAAAAACTAAATGATTTGAAAAATAAAGCAAATAAAAAATGTGATATTTTTTACCTTCTTATTATATGTAACTATAAGTATATACGAAAAAAAAATTAAGACAATATGACAAATCATAATATAATGATTTTATAGAAATTATATGTTCAAACTTTTTATGCATTAAAATATAACAACAAAATATACAATATTAAATTGTTCTTGTGTTGTACTATTATTTGTTTTATAGATTAATGAGTGAAAAAAAATTATAATAATACTGGTAAATAAATGTAAAACCATGGCAACAATCCTATTAAACATGAAATAGTAGGCTATAACTTTTACAGAATAGTTTATATTCTAATCATTAATATATAAATAAATATTATAACATAAAAAAATTTAAAAAAAAAAAACATTGTTCCTAAGTCCATTTTATTTTATTCAATGGCAACATTGGAAGACTTAAAAAAAAAGACATATAAATAAAAATTAACAGATGAACACGAAAATAAAAAATAAATTTTTAATAAAGTTATCAGAATTAAAACTTTATTTTCTTTGTACTATAAAAATAATAAAATAGGCGAGTGTATGCCTAATTATGGAGGAGTTTTTAAAATCCAGACTATAATAATTGTTATAATCTATATAAATTTTTAACTTAAAAAAAACATTAACTTGCAGTTATTATATACATATATAGATATACATATACATATAAAAATACGTTTATGTTGTTCGTCTTCTGTTTGTGGCACTCCCAATATCTTACAGATACGTCGACTCGCCTAGAACCACCGGAAACACAATCACATTTGCATCTACGCCATCAGGTGTATTGTGCTCAAGCGACAGGTTTACGAAAGCCTAAGGGAGAGAATAAAGCGGCCTTCACCAATCATTATTCTAAAAAAATACTACACAACAATAATCAGGGATGATAGCGTTTTACTAAAACGTTCAAACAAGAATAAAAATATTAAGTATTTCAAATTTGATTTTTATATAAAGAAAATGTTCATTTAAAAAATTTAAGTGTATACAAGGGAAAATAATAGTTACAAAACGATACACAAGCGAATATTTGTTCATGTGTATATTATTATACTAATATTTTCCACGAGTCTAATGAGACAGGGAGTTAAAGCGATAGCCTAGATGAGAAATATTTTAAAAGAATAATAAAATTACTTTTTCACTAATCATTATATTTTTTAATGTGCTAATTATGTTTTGAATAAATCACTGACCAGATTCCCATCCATCTTCTTCTTCTTCAGCTGTTGTGCAACTACTTGATTCACTTTCTGATAGTGTTTCACCAACAACTGGTTCGGAAACATCAGTACGTTCAAATAATAAGCTTACATGGAAGTCAGCACTAAAAAGTTTATTTTGTTTATCCTTATGGCCGTCCAAATCCCATTTGTTCATGTTTAATGTCAACAGGCGATTATCACTTCCACCCACATGACCAATAGAGTTTGTACTATTACATAAATATTTGAAATCAACCATTATATTACATTATAAATTCTTTTCATAATACTTTAAAGTACTAAACAATTCATGTTACTAAAAAGTATATTGAAAATTCCAAAAAAAATATCAAGTTCAAACATTAAACTCTATTACAAATTTATTAATTATATTAATATTAAATACATGCATTATAATTTATAACATTAAGTTAAACAATTATAAACTTACCGCATTTGATTATTTGGAAATCGAAAGTTAGTTGAGTCATCCATACTATTAGTATGGACAGTTTTTTCCTGCTGGCCACAATGTTTATTTTCTCTATTACCATTTTCAGTAACAGCCGGTTCACGAACGAAAAAAGTATTAAACCAGAAATGAAATAGTTTTTCCTGAAACAATACAATGCGTAACATATACACTTTTTTAAACAAAAACAATAATAATTAAGACCAGAATTGATAGAATTACTTTTTTTTAAACCACTATAATTTTTGTAAAATTAAAAAATTCAAGGTACCTTACCCTATATATCAATATTTAATTATATATTTTTATTAATCATATAAAAACATTCTGTATCAATTGCTCATTAAAGGCTTGCTTAGCCTGAAATTCTTATATTATGATATAATTAAACAAAAGTTACATTTTAGTTTAATTTACAATAAAAAAAGGTATATAAACCCTTGAAGTTAAAAATGTTTTTCTGATAATATTTCAATAAATTAAAATATTAACTTATAGTATTATTACATATAAAAACATAATATTATACACAAAATTAACACGATTTTATAACATTTTGTGTTAAACAGTGTTTAACATTTTCGATTGTCTGTAAAATGTAATAATAATGCTTACGTCCTTTTGACATACCGCCTATATTTTAGTGATATATGTGTGTGTACCTGTGTATATCAGAAACAATAAATGTAAATTAATTTAATTAAAAATATGAAATCCTTCAGAATGGCCAAACACTATTCCAGACATGATTGTTACAAACATTAACAAATATATTCAGATAATTTTTATTTTGATAACCTTAATTATTTTGAATACGAAAAAAATATTATATTATATTTTTAGTTGATAAATGTTAGAAAATAATTTTATGTTAAATTTATACCTTTTTCTTCATTTTATGTTTATTATAACACTCTACTTTCACATCTCCGAGGACTTGTGTCATTTGTGTTAAACGAATTGTTACATCAGAAGCATTACGTCGCATATCCTGTACATCAGATGAATAGACTTTTCTGATTTTTGAACTATCTCCATTTATCCATTCTGATATTACTAAACGGATACCTAAAAATAGAATTAAGATTTAAAGTATTATACTTACAAAATAATGTTGATGAATAATACAAACTATAAATACTTACATGTTTGCCCCGAATTAAAAATATTAGGCACTGGATCTAATTTTATTTCCTTTACAGTCAATACCACAGGCTTGTAATTTAAATTTTTTTCAACTAACAATGCATAATAGTTTACATATCTTCTTTGACTGGGAATAGTGACACCCTGAAAGAAATAAAATAATGTTTATCTATATACATTTAAAAATGAAATAAATTGAAATAAGTCAATAGTCAAAAAAACACAATTGTATGTTACATAATTTGAAGAACTTTGCGTAAAATTGTATTGATGACATTTAAATGTATGTAGAATGTTTATAAAAATAAACAACAATTTGAATCACACAAAAATTAAAATTGACCTGAGAACACATAGTTTTTTTTTCTTTAAAAGTATTATTAAAGTGAATTTTTTTTGGGTTCCCAAATTTTAATATACCTTTTTAGTAATTGAAATCAAAAATATTAAAGTAGATATATATGAAAAATTATAATTATATTCTTAAAATGTTACAATTGTTTTACTCGAATATCACACTTATAATATTGATTAAATGTATGAAAAAACTTTTTCATTTTTTAGTTAAATATACAATAAGTACCCATGTAATACCTTTTTATCAAATGTTCTCTTTTGGCCATAATAATTGAGAGCTTCTTCTGCTGATAAACACTGTAAACTATGTATTAGATAACAACATATCATTACACCAGTTCGGCCCTTCAAATTAAAACAAGTTTTATTAATAAATCAATTAATTAATAAATACACAACTAAAAAACTTTACCTTTCCAGCTTTACAATGCACAGCAGCTACATTTCTGCTGTCTCTAGCGAGCCATTGATGGACATCTTCACAAAAAGGTTTGATCACTTCAATACTTGGTGGATTATGATCTTGAAATGGGTAGGTAGCCACACGCTGGTGGAACTTCCGAGAATCATAAGATCTTTCTGAACAACTAAAAAGATAATATTGAACAAGTATTAAAAAAAATACATTTTAATTGAATAAATACTTACAGATTATATATTTTATAATGATTAGGATGTTTCTGATCAAGGAGCCTGCTTACATCATCTATATGATTTCGGTAGACTACACCTTCTAAATTTTCTGCTGGAAATCCCATTGCTATCACATTGTGTTGAATGTCTAATCAAATCAATTAAGGACAACATAGACCAAAACCATAAAGAAGCATCATATTTTTACCAAATATTGTTCATTTGTTTTCTAATAGTCTTTTAAAATAGTTTATCAATTTTAATATGAAGAATTTCCAGAGATAGAACAAATAAATTATGACAATACAAACATTTTTTGTAGTGGAGACTAAATTTACATAAATAGCTGTGATTCTATTATTTAAGAAAGTAAAATAATAAAAATAATTTTATATGTTGAATATTTATTTCAAAATACAATATTTGTTTATTTTGTTTAGAAACCGCAAACTAGACTAAATTAGAAATTATTAGAAAAATATTCTGTTTTAAAATATTAAATAAAAACTGGCATAACTTTTTTCTTTTCAATAATACTGTTTGTTAATGACATCAAAAACAGTTTTCAAAAAATCTAATATTTTTTTTTTAGATAACTCATTGTTCACTGTTAAACCTTGCATAACATCAATAGTATTTATATTTTTTAATGGAGTATGTTACATTTACAAAATTACACTGTCTCGCTACAAAATATTATATTAGAAAGAAATCAAATTATTCTATTAACAAAATAAATGTTAAAACTACGAGTAAACTAATAGAATTTAATGAAAACATATTTTAAAATGTTGTATATTGTGTGGAATATATAAGAAAAATACAACAAATCAAATACAAAGTTGTATTAGTACATATCTACTTGATAAAATGTTATTAGTAAAATATTAATCAAATATTCAAATACAATATTATATTATGTAATTAGGTTAAATTGTTAAAATTCTCAAATGTTTTTAAAAAAATCTTAGGTTCATAAAAATATTATTTGGTAATATAAATATTAATATTAATATTGTGTACTATATATTTCAACAAAAAACCATTCAATTTTGAAAAATATATAATAATAATAACATATTAACATACCTAGTACAAACTTTTGTGTACAAAAAAGCAGTATTCTAATTAAGTATTTGTTACCGATAAAAGTATATCTAATTTGTAACATAATTAATCAATTGACAATTCAAAGGATACAAGTCAAATCGAGGTTGAACCCATCTTCAGTATAACGTTTTCTTTGTTTACTGACCAGTTTTTTAATTGGATTAGTCATTTTGATGTTGGGAATGGCCATTCTGGTGCGGATTGACGAGCTATGCACCAGACCAGTAGATTGTTCGTCCATGGCCCTGCTGTTTACGGTTAGTTATGTGCATTGTATTTACTAGACTGTGAACAAACAACAAGGCATTGAATGTATAAACATTCGAGAAAAAACAGTAACACATTCCACATTTTAATGTAGTTTAAACAGCCTTACCTTATAGTCAAGTCCAGAGTAAATACGTAGGTAGTTTATATATCAACAATACATTTTATATGTGATCAATAAGATGAACATTATGCCTATTTGTGTAATGACTAAGGGTGATAATTTACGACTGGACACTCCAGAGATGAAAAGGGACAATGCAACAGAAGAGGGGAAAAAGAAAATGAAATGAAAAATAAAAACTTATAACATTTTTAACATTAAAAAAAAAAGAAACAAAGAACTGGAAAGCTTACACCGTAACAGTCTGAACAATTGTGAGATACATAATAATTACATACACCGCCCAATGTGACCAACAGAAACCATGGAGACTAAACTAAATAAAAAAACCACAGGGCACAGACCACAAAATAATATAATAATAATAAATACTAGCTCTAAGTATAACTCGGGGCCCGTTGGAATCGCTGAGAGTGGGTACCGATTTTGGAGACAATGAATTATAAAAGTCGCAAAGGTTGTAAGACGAAAGTTTAGGATTTGTGATAAGGATTAGTGATATGGATTGGATATAAGGCTAGACGCTTTGGCGGGAATGTTAAAAGTTTGAGTGTCTAGCAATCCGTCACAAACGTTGTAAATGGATAGGCTGGATACGATCTCCAGGATCACCTATATAGAGTATACCTGCACATAAAGTGGTATGTGCCGTAGCATGCCCGGTGCTTTATCTTATGTAAAAAGTGTAAAGTCGAAAACCGTGTTGGAGTTTCTAGCAAGTCAGTCATCTCAAGTCAAAATCTATTAACTTTCAAGTTAGCCACTTAGGTAGGCTGGTAGGCAATCCGACTTCGTCGGATCGCGGACAATGTGCTACAGCAAATCAGGTAGGCAATCCACCTGCGGTGGATTGCAGACCCGACGTCAAGCGGCTATAAGTGAAAACCCTATCACACAACTTACGAAATAATTTACGAAAAATTCAAACTATATACAATATACATACAAACAAATATGATATGTATTTATTGTGTGATATAATATAACAATGAACACTTTGAGAAAAGTGCAATTATAATTATAATACATAATACATAATTATAATACATACCTACTATTATATTAACCAATACAATAAGTACATATAAACACTACCTATAATGTATATATATTAATTTAAAAAAAAAAATGCAAAAACCTGCATGTTAAACTGTTAAAGTGTCTGTCAAGTCAATCATCACCGTTTAAGACGAAACTAAAATGAGCAATCCGTCTATCACCTATATATAGTAGGTATATCACATAGAGTGGTATGTGGCTTCGCATGTCCGGTGCCATTCCTTATGTAAAAAGTGTAAAGTCGACAACCGTGTTGGAGTGTCTAGCAAGTCAGTCATCTCAAGTCAAAATCGATTAACTTTCAATTTAGCCACCTAGGTAGGCAATCCGAAATAAAATACAACTATATTTATATAACAATCATGGACTTTTTGAAAAAATATGCAATTATAATAATTCCTAACAAAACAAATATAATATGTACCTATTTATTGTATGATATAATATGACAATGACTTTAAATAATAATAATGTACGATATGTTCCTGTATTATTATATTATTATTTAATTTATATTAAAAATAACGTGAAAAAAAATGCAAAAAAAATCCGGTTCCGGGCGGCCGTGTAGACCTTATGGCAATGCCAGATTCGACGCTCGGGCAGCGTACGACGGGTTCGAACCCGGGACCTACGTGTTTTCTACCTAACGCCTAACCTACTTGGACACAGTTTGAGATGTGAAATATGATCAAAACATCAACACTTAAGCCGTGCGTCTACGGAGCGACGTAAACCGATATATTCGATGTACATCGATGTAATCGCATATAATTCGCTTGTAATACGCGCATCTCCCATATATATATTTAACGGGGCGTGTGAAAAGCGTTTTTCGTTAATAATTATTAAATCATAGGGAAAAATTAAATTATACATGTATATATACGGTCGGTCGGTCGCCGGCGTAATTTATAAACGCGATTGCGAGGCGAACGAACCGATTTCGGGGGAAAAGCCCATATAAACGGCTTTAAAAAGACGTCGACTACACGATTCGGGCACAAACGGCGTGTGAATAGACGAAACGGTGGGAGAAAAGGAAAAAATCGGCAAAAAAGTCCGGTCGGGAGTGTATTTTTCGATCGACATTGCGACCGCTTCGAACGGCGCACGAATATAAACTACACACCGGCGGCTTCGAATTAAGTATAAAAAAGGACGGAAAGGGTCGAAATCGTGTAAAAACAGCTAATTTTCCGAAAATTTCAAAAATTGGCGAAATGATAGGAAAAGAGGTGATAACGAAAAACGTTTTAAAACCGACTGCCGCCGCTGCGAAGGTACGCGATTGGTCGCGCTATAAGGAATCGACGGGACTTGGCCGGCGGGCTGGGGAAACGGAGCGGTGCTTCATTTTTTACTCCACGGTTTCACTATAACTGCGTTTTCCGTTCCACGGGTTGCTTGTAGACAGCTGATTTCCTTGTCATTTTATATATTAGGACTAGATTCCGGTGTTTGTCATCCCGCCTACGGCGGAAAGACTGTGTGGGCGGTGGTGCATCTTTGTCGGCGATGCTGGGTTTTTTGATCCAGCCTGCGGCGGGAATGGGGGGTCGTCGGTTATTGTGTTTTGTCGTGTTGGCAGCACTGGTTAAGCGGTAATTTTTGAACTCGGAAGAGTGTCTAGTCGTAAGTCACGCGATTCAAGTCGATCGTACGACACAGCCAGCCAGGTAGGCAATCCGACTACGTCGGATCGCAGACCATGCACCGGTCGGGTATGTCCGGTTCTGGTGTGTGTGTGTTGAAATCGGAAATTCGGATTCTGGGTTTGAGTGTCTAGCTATCAGTCATCTCGGGTAAAAGTCGATTCCCGAGTGTCGGATGCAGTGGGGGACACTGGGGGTGTAAGTCGCTCGTATGCAAGTAGCTAGTCAGGTAGGCAATCCGACTACGTCGGATCGCAGACCATGCACCGGGCGTGTATGTCCGGTTCTGGAGTGTGTGTGTTGAAATCGGAAAAATTCGGATTCTGAGTTTGAGTGTCTAGCTATCAGTCATCTCGGGTAAAAGTCGATTCCCGAGTGTCGGATGCAGTGGGGGTGTAAGTCGCTCATATGCAAGTAGCTAGTCAGGTAGGCAATCCGACTACGTCGGATCGCAGACCATGCACCGGGCGTGTGTGTCCGGTTCTCGTATGCGTGTTGAAATCGGAAATTCGGATTCTGAGTTTGAGTGTCTAGCTATCAGTCATCTCGGGTGAAAGACGATTCCCGAACGGACAATCCGCCTGCGGCTGATCGGATGCAGTGCGGGGTGTAAATCGCTCGTATGCAAGTAGCTAGTCAGGTAGGCAATCCGACTACGTCGGATCGCAGACCATGCACCGGGTGTGTATGTCCGGTTCTCGTATGTGTGTTGAAATCGGAAATTCGGATTCTGAGTTTGAGTGTCTAGGTATCAGTCATCTCGGGTGAAAGTCGATTCCCGAACGGACAATCCACCTGCGGCGGATCGGATGCAGTGGGGGTGTAAGTCGCTCGTATGCAAGTAGCTAGTCAGGTAGGCAATCCGACTACGTCGGATCGCAGACCATGCACCGGGCGTGTGTGTCCGGTTCTCGTATGGGTGTTCAAATCGGCTGTTGAAATCAGTCATCTCGAGTGAAAGTCGATTCCCGAGTGTCGGATGCAGTGGGGGTGTAAGTCGCTCGTATGTAAGTAGCTAGTCAGGTAGACAATCCGACTACGTCGGATCGTAGACCATGCACCGGGCGTGTATGTCCGGTTCTGGAGGTTGTGTGTTGAAATCGGAAATTCGGATTCTGAGTTTGAGTGTCTAGCTATCGTCTATCAGTCATCTCGGGTGAAAGTCGATTCCCGAACGGACAATCCGCCTACAGCGAAAAGTGCTCGAAACGGCCGTTCAAATCTGATAAAGCATACAGGAGGTAACAAAATTGTATTTTTTTTATAATTATAGAGAACATTTATCAGGTGTTTTATGTTAGGCTTCATTGTAATCAATGTAATCATTGTTATGTTTTCGCGGTTATAACAAATAACTAATAAGTCGAAAAAATCTAATTTTCTGATTGGATATTTTCTAAAATATACCTACCATGTATATTTATTTAATTATGAGAATTAAATCAAATTAACAAATAGATAATTATATTGGTGAATAACAAAATTTATTGTAATGTAATACTATCCTATTAAACGTAGGTATGTATAAATGAATACACAATACAATTTTTTGGCACTTATCTTCGTAAGTACCTACTATCATAATATTTTGCTGTTATATTGTATGACTGTAGGTATATAATATATGATGTACCTACCTACCAATTTATTAAATGTCATTTGATATTTATGATGTTTTAAATTATTTAGTAATTATAATTGCTTAATTATAATGGTGCATCACTGTGTTATGACTTATGTATTATGTGTATGAAAGTGTGTATGAAAAAATCAAACTTTTTGTCGCATATTTTCATTTCCGTATAAAGTAATAACAACACTGTCCGCTCCCCGATCTCCTCCGCGGAACTCGACTCGAGCGAAGTACTGACGACGGTGGCTTATAAATTTAGCGGGGAATGCCAATAATATCCAAACATGCAGGGTAATACCACTAAAACGGTCCAAGAAACGAATTTTAGAAAAAAACAGCAAAAAACGTCTCGAGGCATGTATTTATTGCTGTATATAGCGATACTTACACGGTACCTACTCCCTTTTCCGCGACGCCACTCTTTCCCGGGACTCGTCTGTGAAAAAGTAGGGTCGCGCACCGTCTATAAATGTAGCGGGGAACTCGAATAAGGTCCAAACGGG